CCTTGTCTAATTGCAATGGTTAATGCCACCAGTACAATGTTAAAGTTAGTAGGTATCTGTGCTTTGTTCCTGATTTTAAATAGCTCCAGTATTTGCACATTGAGGAAGAAGTTGAGTTTAGGGCAAAGGCTTAGAGGTAGAGATAGAGAGTGCCATTTTATCATATTAATATAATAGCCATCAATTCCCTCTTTTTTCTTTTTTCCGCATCTATAAGAAAAAAGGCACATAATTTCTTTACTCATATTGAATCAAACTTCCATTCCACAGATAAATTTCACCGACCATGATTTATTATCCTCATACTATGAGGTTGGATTCTGTTTGCTAATATTTTATTAAGTATTTTTGTATCAGTATTGGTAGGTGGCATTGCCTTGTCATTTTCTTTTTGTATTATCCCTACCAGATGTGGTTATCAATATAAATTTGCTTCACAAAAAGAATTTGGAAGTTTTACTTTAAATGCTCTAGAACAATTTATGTAGTACTGTAACTGGTCTTTAAAAGCTTGGTGAAACTCTCCTTGTGAAACTCTCTGGACCTGTTGCCTATTTGGGGGAGGGTAATTCCTTAATAAATTTCTTCTACAGAAATTGATAGTTTCTATCTTTAATGCAGTGAATTTAATAAACTGTATTTTCCCAGAAAATTATCTACTTCCTAGTTTTTCAAACTTTTCAAAATAAAAGTATGTTATGGACTCTCAAGATTTTTAAAATTTCTTTTGTTTCAACAATTATTTCCCCCTCATTCTTTCTCATTTTATATATTTGCACTTTCTCCTTTTTTTCCTGATTAAGCTACATAGTATTTCTATTTTGTTACTTTTTTTCAAAAAAAGATTTCGATTAATTAGATCTGCTTTTTAACATTCTAGTAAATTCTGCTTTTAAACTTTTGGTTACTTTGTTGCTCTTTTTCCAGCTTTTAGAATTGGGAAATTATTTCATTATTTTATTTTCTTGATACAAGTGTTTAAACACTGTCCCACTGCGAAACATTAAAGTTGAAGCTACAATTAAGGTTGCTAAGGGGCCGGGCGCGGTGGCTCAAGCCTGTAATCCCAGCACTTTGGGAGGCGGAGACGGGCGGATCACGAGGTCAGGAGATCGAGACCATCCTGGCTAACACAGTGAAACCCTGTCTCTACTAAAAAAATACAAAAAACTAGCTGGGCGAGGTGGCGGGCACCTGTAGTCCCAGCTACTCGGGAGGCTGAGGCAGGAGAATGGTGTGAACCCGGGAGGCGGAGCTTGCAGTGAGCTGAGATTCGGCCACTGCACTCCAGCCTGGGCAACAGAGCGAGACTCCATCTCAAAAAAAGAAAAAAGGTTGCTAATCAGTGACCTTGAGATAATCTACAGTTACCTGGGTGGGCCCCATGTAATCACACTGGGAGGATCTGCAGCCCACTCTGGGGCAGGTTTCTGCTACAATAGCACAGAGGCCAGGACAGGAGAGGAGGCAGCAGCAGTCGGGAATTCACCAACAACCCCTTCCTGGTGAGAAGGGACTAAATTGTCATGTGACTTGCTTGGCCAATGAAAACACAGCAGATAGGACACTAGCAGGGGCTTAGGAATGTGTTTTCACAGTGGGGCTTGCTGTGTCTTCCTCTAGCAGCCCCAGAAGAACACGCCTGGCTGCCTACTAATCCAAAACGGGTAAGAGACAAGTGAGGCAGAACCACTCCAGCCGACCTGATAGGCACAGTGGACATTATGGCATGGTGGACAAAGGGATGGACCCCTGGAGAGGGGCTCAGCATATGTCCTCCCTCCTCCCTTTGTAGTTCAGTCCAAACCCCACTGTCTCCAACATTCCCTGGTTCCCCCACTCTGTGACATCACTGCCAGCCTCCTGTCCACTCTGCCAGCTGCAGGTGAGTGAGGCTCATAGGTTAGACCTAAGGGTATGAGGGGGTAATCTTTCTGTACTAAAATAGAAAATGCCCCCAACACTCCAGGACACCTATTCACTTTGTTACAAGCAGCACCCCTTATTTGCCTTGACCACAGTGTTTCTCTGTTTCTGGGTCCCAGTCTCCCCACCTGTGCTGAAAGACTCCTAAGGGCTCTCCTAGCTCCAGACGACTTCCTGTTTGACCTCATTGGTCTTTCTTACTCTGATCAAAGTGCTGTGGGGTCCCTAGAGAACCGAAACTCAACAATCCACTAGGGACAGCCCAAGGGCCCTTTTCTTTGGCTCCTGCTTCCCTCTAGAGGCGGGCATTGGTAATGCAAGAAACACCACCCGACTCCGTCCCAGCCAGCATCTCAGTGACATTAAACGCTTACTATGTGCCGGATACCCTGCAAAGCACTTGACATCTTTATGTCACCAAATCCTTACAACAGCATTCTGCGGGTAGGTTTCACCATACCATTGTACAGACTGGAAAACTGAGGTTCAAGAAGGCTAAGTGGCCCGAAATTACACAGCAAGATGCAACAGGAATTAGGAACTGAAGTCCATCTAAGTTAAAAAGGAGTGTGCT